GGTCTGACTCTCCAGGGTGTTCACGGGGTTGTGTTAAGTAGAAAAGAAATTTTTATGTGGTTGGTGCTCTGGTATATTCTTAATGGTCCTTTGGTTCATTCGAGCTGCTTGTTTTCCATGTTTGTATTTTTGAAAAATCTTCTGTTATTCATATCTTTGTCTTGTACTATGCAATATGTTCCCCCACCCATTTTATAATTTTGTCCTTATTATGGGTTGAGTAATTTGATTATGATGTGCTTTTGTGTGCCTGTGTGAGTGTTCATATTGAGGTTTTTGGACCTGTGGATGTATGGTTTTCATTAAATGTGGAAAATTTCATACCACTATTTCTTTAAATAGGTTTTCAATCTCCTTGACTTTCTCGTAGTCTTTCTTTTGGGTTAGGAGCCAGGGCTCCAAGACTACAATTATATATATATTATGCTGCTTTAAGTTGTCCTCAATACTGCTTTTATTTTAATTAAAAAATTTTTTGCATTTTATTTTGGGATACTTTATATTGCTATGTTATCAGTTTCACCATTTTTTTTCTTCTGCACAATTTTGTCTATCATCAATACAGTTATAGTACTTATTTGCTTGGTTGGGTGCAGTGGCTCATGCCTATAATCCTAGCACTTTGGGAGGCCCAGGTAGGTGGGTCACTTGTGGCCAGGAGTTTGAGACCAGCCTGGCCAACATGACAAAACCCCATCTATACCGAAAATACAATAACAACAACAACAACAACAACAACAACAATAAAACTTAGCTCAGCATGTTAGCACATGCCTATAGTCTCAGCTACTTGGAAGGCTGAGGCAGGAGAATTGCTTGAACCTGGGAAGAGGAGGTTGTAGTGAACCAAGATTGCACCACTGCACTCCCAGCCTGAGCAAAAGAGTGAGACTGTCTCAAAAAATGCTAATGTGAATATACACAGTCAAATCTCAGTTGGTCTCCTTTGGTTAATTTTTTCCCTTGTTATCAGTCATATTTTCCTCCTCCTTTTGATGCCTGGTAATCTTTGATTGGGTGCCAGACATTGTGTATTTACCTTGCTAAATCCTAGATATTTTTGTATTCCTATATGTATTCTTGAAATTTATTCTAGGACACATTAAATTATTTTAAAAGGTTTGATCTCTTTGGATCTAACTTTTATGATTTAAAAGGAGGAATCAGAGCAGCACATGATATAGGAACAATTATTTTATTCTACTGAAGTGAGAATTTTCTGAATACTCTAACCTAGTGCCCCAAGAATCTTTTTCAGTCAGGCTGGTGGGAACAAAATTTTTTTTTAGCTTTATGTGAATTCCAGGCACTGATCCTTTGAGATGGTTCTCTTCCTGTATCAGTTTCCTCATGCAAATGTACTGATTGAACCCTTTTCAGATCTCTAGGTTTGTCTCTCTATGCAACTCTCTAGAGTCGTATGTTCTGCAGACTCTAGCCACCTTGGTCTCCCAGGACTCTCAGCTTAGTATTCTCAAATCAGGGAGTCCACCTTGGTTTCCTCTTCCTGAGACATAGTCTAAAAAAAAACTCCTAAAGCAATAATAAGCTGAGGCAATCAGTTACTTCCTGTCTTTCAGGATTATTGTCCTTCATTGATTGATACCCAGTGTCTTGAAAACTATTGTTTCATTTATTTTGTTTGTTTTTAGTTATTTCAGATGGAAAGGCAAATCTTGTTCCTGTTAGTCTATTGGAAGTATGCTTCCTTTCTCTTTAAATATTTTAAAACATAGATTGTGGTCCCTGTCCTATGCTGGGCCTTTGGTCAATCTTGAATAGCTATGTAATATTATCTTCTCTCTTTAAGTCCATAAGGATGGAGTGTGAGTACTAAGATGACACCATAAGGGCATGTGAGATAGCAGGAAGGAGAGTGACCTAAAGGAGTTGGGCCTGACAACCCACATTATGGAAAAAGGGAGGCTTCAAGGCTGGGCAGGACCAGAATAAATGGAGAGGAAAGGGAAGGAAATGCCAGCATGCCATGACACAGATGATCACAACTTTATGGAAAAATGGGCTCTTCAGGACCCTTTAAAACGACAGCAAGCTCTGATTGCTCTTGCAGATACAGTGAACTGTTTATTCAGATGTGCCAGAGCATATAATAAAGAGGCACGGTTCTAAGATGAGGGTCTTCCCACTGAGCCACCTGAGAACCACATCCAGGTGTTTGAGATAATGACATTCTGGTTGTGTGCATATGATTTGCATTCATTTCACAAACCTGTGTCTTTTTTTCCCCCTCCACTACTCTCCAATCATGATTGGAATACAGCTTTCTTTACTTTCATTCCTGGCGTCCTCACTCTTTTTTTAGCATCTGACAAGCTTCGGATTTAGAACTAACTTATACTTTATATCATACATTGTAAAAGCCTCATTTTTATATTACATCATTCAATTCGATAATATGTGTTTAGACTGGGTATTATTTCTCATACGGTGAGGTAGAAATGCCAGGTATACATTTGAAGAAACTGAGACTCACAAAGATCAAGTACTTTGCTTGGGGACACATACTTGTGAGTTCTGGGGAGTCAGATCAAGTCTTTCAGAAGGTCTGAATATCTAATCCATTCTAATTTGGCAGACAAATGCCTAGTCAGCACACAGACATGTGCACACGTATCAGAATGGCAAATGGTGAGTCAGATCAGGTGGTTGTAGCTGCTGGTGAATTTGGCCTGTGGCCATAGTTTGCTGACCTCTTGAACAAGATGACCCTTTCATTGTGGAGAAAATAGTAACATCAATGCATATTCATTTTATCTTACTTTTAAACATTTCTATTTTTGAGTGGTTTCATAACATACACTGGCATATTACACACAGTGGTTCAGGTGTGTACAGCTGTTTGTTTGATAACATGCATTGGCATTATATGCTCAAAGCCTTTTTGCTGAAAATCATAAATAAATCATAGCTGACATTTAATGAGCAGGTACCTTGTGCCAGGTCCAGCTTCTAAACACTTTATATGGATTAATTCGCTGAATTCTCATCATCGCCCAATAAGGAAGGTTCTACTTTTATCCACATTTTACAGATAAGGAAACTGAGGCACTAGCATAAAGTTGTGTGATTTAAATCTTACCCCCCACTTTCTTAGGCTTTGGCTAATCTCTGATTGCTGTGGTCTTGTGTTTGGGAGTTCAGGTGTTGAGTCAAGGGTATCCAATATTAATTCAAAGTGATATGTGGGCACAGATTAATAGCTCATCAAACTTCAGATGCCACGTGAGGAGCTGAATATTTGTGAACCCATCTAGGCAGGCACCATGAGATCTAGTCAAATATTTGCTAACCCTTCATCTAGGCAGGTACCATAAGAACATATTGTTTAACTCCATAGTAGCCATGTAAAGAAGGTATTAATTTTCCCATTTTATGGATGAGGAAACTGAGGTTCAGAGAGTAAAAACTGATTCAAAATTCCACTGCCAGCAAGTGAGGGGGCTGGATTGGAAATGAAATACAGGTTTTTCCTAGCACTGACTGTCCAATTCCTGGCTACCTACTCTCTTCGAAAGTTGAGGCATTCCTTAAGCCCCTTAAGCTAAGAATTTCTCCAGGAGCTACTGTCCCACAGAGTACACTAAACTGGGGCTCCACTCATTCCTAGGTGGAACATGGTCTGGCCCATGCAGCCCATAAATGGGATCTTGTCCCTTCCTGTCTTGCACATCCATTAGAAGAGTCTAGTTTCTTCTTTAGGGACTTGGCCAGATAAAGAATAAGGTAGATATGATTCACCTTACAGTATCAAGGCTTGGTAATTGAATTAAAAAGAGAATGAAGGAAGGACAGAAAGAAGGGATGAAAGAAGTGAGGAACAAATAAGATCAAGCAGGCTTGGCTCTGAGGAGCACTGAGCAAGCTGCTTTCTGAGCTGTAGTTTTATTAACTATAACATGGAGACAGTAACAGCTTCTACCCCAGACATCTGAAGGATTTGATGACGTTATGCATATCAAGCAGGTGCTCTATGCAAATGGATGGAGGGAGAGGAGACTTGGTCTCCTTGTTGGAATGTTTCTGGGACCAATTCTTAGGCCTAAAAGAGACTATAGGGAGCCTTTTCTCCATTTACATGTTCGAGGGGCCTCTGAGTGTGGCAGCCTCTTAGAGAACAAGAATCTACCCAGTATCCTAGGAATGGAGTTGGCTGGGCTCTGCTGGGACATCTTAGCTGTTCCACTTTATGACCTAGAAAGTCTACCCTAATATATAAGATCTGGGTTGTGAATAACAGACCCCATAGACTGACCCCAAACCCAGAAACAGACCCCTGGCTCCGTGGTCAACATAGAGTCAGACATAGACATTATGATCATGGGTGTCCTGTTGGCATGCCTCCAGACCCCATGGTGCTTCTTCTGTACTATTTAATTTTAGTTGTAATTTTCTTCCTTTGTAATTCCTTCCTTCCTTCCTTCTTCCTTTCCTTCCCTTCCCTTCCCTTCCCTTTCCTTTCCTTTCCTTTCCTTTCCTTTCCTTTCCTTTCCTTTCCTTTCCTTTCCTTTCCTTTCCTTTCCTTCTTTCCTTTCCTTTGTTCCTTCCCTCCCTCCCTCCCTTTTTTGTTTAATGCAGCAAACACTGAGGAAGAACTCTGCATGCTAATGGAGACAGAAGTGCATTCTGCTACAGGATTTTACAAATAGGCTACGGGAAATGCACAGAGAAGGAAGAGATAAGGGCAAATGGAAAATGGATAGAAGGTGAAAAGGAGGAGACAGAGGGACAAAGAAATGAGGAAGGGGTAGAAATGAAAAAGAGGCAGAGGATGGGGCAGGAAAGAGGGCTGGGAAACAGAATATAAGGGGAGAAGGAAAGGTAGAAAAGGGAAAAGACGAAAGGGAAGAGGAAGAGGCAGAAGAAGGAAAACAGGCCTCTCGAGTACTTTCTACGGCCCTTCAGCCAGTCTCATTTATTTGGAGCTGTTAGAAATATTATCTATGTCCACCTCTCACCAAGGGGAGCTCATAAATAAATACCTCTGGGTAGGAGCAGATATCTGTAAATACAGCTGAGGAATTGAAAGTCAGGTTCTTCAAGGGTATCGACTTGTCAAAATCACACCACAGCTGCGGATTAAAAAAAAAAAAAAGAACAACAAAAACAAAAAACACAGGAACAACAAAGTCAGTGTGAGTGCTGGAAATGGAGCGGAGTGCTATCAGTGGCTGGGCTTCAGCAGAAGCCTGGGTAGACTGAATCCTAGAGGGGACTTGAAGTCAGAATGGAAGTGCCAAAGTGCCAGCTTTGATCTCTTTTATTTAAAAAACAAGTACTGGTTCAGAAATAGCTTTGTAAGCCAGTCATGAAACTAAGTTTAGACTGTGCTGTTGGCCCCATCATTTAGGGTCACTGGAGTGCACTTGTGGAGCTCAGAAGAGAGAGCCAGATGGCAGGAGAAGAGGTCTGGGGTAAACTCATAGCCTGTTTCCAGATCAACAGCTGGGAGGACTTGAGGAATCTGAAGGGGTACATTTACCAGAAAGACTCTTAGCATTGGGGTGATAAGCATTTCCTAGGACAGAAATTGCTGCTGGAGATTCTGTGGTACTAGAAAAAGAGTAACTACTATTGGCCAAATGCCTCCTCTGTGCCAGACACTTTGTACAAAAAAGCCTCACAACCACCTTGTGATGTAGCTGCTATTTTGGATCCCCATTTTACAATTGAAAAATATGAAACTCTGAGAAGTAAAGTAACTTGTACAGGGTCACTGGGCTGGTGACTGGTGGATCTGAGATTTGAACCCAGGTCTATCTGACTCCAAAGTCTCTGATCTTACCACACTACACACTGAGGCACAGTTAGCCCCAGAGGTAACCCTGACCTAGAGTCACTGGACTTATTTACAAATTCTGCATCCTAGAAATATCTAATTTGTTATCAAGGCTTAATTCAAGGTCTGGGCTACTTCTCTGCAGCTCATGATCAATAATCCTGTGTACTTCCATTTCAATTATTATAATTTATAAAGTATCCATGAGGTGATGAACTACATTACATGATAATTTTCCTTTTTCTCTTTTCCTTTATCCACAGAGCCTTCACTAGAAGGACAACCACAGAACATAAGTAAGGTAATAACTGTGCCAAATTGGACAGTGATTTCAGGTAGTCTAGGCCTCTAAGTCACAGGCCAACAATTGTGGGAGTCTATAGCTTGGGTCCCTGAATACTTGGGGACCTTCCCTTAGGCCCACAGGGCACAGCAATGGATTCAACCACACCACAATGCCTCTCTCAATATGCCAAGCTTAAGATCCATAATCAAACAAATCACCTCAAAAATCTAGCTGTCTGAGTTTTGGACAACACAGACTACTTATAAAAGCACAGAGAATACCTACAGCCACCATGGTACAATTCTTGAGAGAAAATGAAACCATGACAATGAGGATCAGCAACTTAAAACAATGACAAATATCATGGCAGTTGGAAATTCCTCTGAGTTCTATGTGTCACATGAAATACAAACTTAGAAAGTCATAGGCAAGATACTCAACTTTCCTGAAATGCAGTTTCCTCATCCATAAAATGGGGACAGTAATACCTACCTGTAGCACATAGTAGGTGCTCAATAAATGGCAGCTATTTCAATTTTATTTCCCCACCCCACTCCCACTCCCAGAGATACAATTTAATATATTAGAGGGGCATGGGTCATGGAGTCAGACAGACCTTAGCAAGTTATCTTGTGTCTCTGAGCCTCAGTTTCCTCAGCCATAAAGTGGGGATAATGAAACTTACCTCAAGGGGTTTATGTGAGGATTAAACATAAAAAATATGTAAAGCTCCTCCTTTAGCGCATGGCACATAGCAGGTAGGTACTGGTGCTTGATAAATGGTAACTCTTATTTATGATATAATTGGCCACTGACAATATGGAAATTGAAGGACTTTAGGAACTCCTTTGGAGAAAATAACCTCTCCCCTACTGCCAAAACTGTGCGTTTTACTGTTGGAAAACTGTCTTCCAACAGTAAAATGCACAGTTTTGGCAGTAGCCACATCTTTATTATCTTTCCCTAAGCTTGGGGCTGGACCAGGCACATAAAGGTAACTGGTACCAAGGAAGCTGCAGGCTCCACAAACTTCATGCTCAACTGCACACTAGACACCAGAGGGTTGGTGGATGTGGGATGCTTACGATATTTAAGATGGCACCCAGAAAATTAATCAAGATGGATGCAAAGATGATGACGTTCCGGGCCAAATAGGTCTCATTAATCCAACAGCAAGTTTTCCGGAGGAGGAGGGGCAAACACTTGTAATCCTCTGCCGTGGTGATGAGGACCAGAGCCGAGTGCAGCATAATCAGAATGGAGAACTGGATGGTCATTGGCATCACTCTGCAGGGAGATACAGAATGTCGATCACTGGCCTCAGATGTCTGATCCCCACTCACTGAGCGACATTGACATTCTATTTCTGGTCTCCCTTTCCCATCCCTTGCACCAGATAATTCTTTGAAAGTTCTGTTTGTTCAAGAAAAAGATTATTAGCAGGAGACATTTAAAAAATCACATTCATCCTTGGAGCACTCTCTCTATTGAGAAACTTTGCAAAAAACCAGAATATTTGTCTTGATTTATTGCTCCTGCCCATTTTCCCACTTCTTTTATTATTAATTTTTCTCACTAGGCAACTGCTGCCAAGGCAATACACCACTCTAGTTTGATCTTAACACTCTGGCTGAGGGATGAACCTACATATCATTTCTGCTTCAAGACAGGTTTTATGAAATTTTCCCCCTCCATCTACCCTGATACCAAGAACGGGATTTGGCATTGTTCCAAGTTGCTCATTTTGGTTAGTGTTTATCGTGGTTTTCATGGACTATACCACAAGTTATTTGAGATGTAGGTAATCAGAACTCATCCTTGTCTGAGGCATCTATCCTGATACCAAGAACTGGATTTGGCATTGGTTCCAAGTTGCTCATTTTGGTTAGTGTTTATTGTGGTTTTCATGGACTATACCATAAGTTATTTGAGATGTAGGTAATGAGAACTCATCCTTGTCCGAGGCATCAGCATCACTCTCGAGTTTACATCTTGAGTTTCAAGCTTTCACCAAAACTCTGTCCCATGGTAGCCTGTGTCAGTTGGACACCTGTGCTAGGTGTCAGGATGCTTAGTAACTGTGATCTAAAACTCCATCTCCGGAGCCATCTTCAACTCATTTCTCTCCTATCAACCTATTTATCACCATGCATGTTGCTTCTCCTTGGGAATTAATCATTTGTTCTCAACTTTGTGTCTAGCCATTCATGTCCTACACTGGTAGCTCTAATTTTTTCACCTCTATTTCAGTCAGCAAACTTATGCAGGTGTTAAAGGGTACCTTGAAAGAAGTGCTGGGAGATTTTATGTCTGCTCCTTTTTCTATAAATTGAGTTTCATCCATTTGGCTTTACTATCCTCCATTGGCCAGTGCTAAATAAATGTGTGCTTAGCAAATAAAGTTGAACTCACCTTTTTTCTAACACTGTCTTTTACTATCCTCCTCAAACTTCTTATGTATTATTAATAACACTAATATAAATAATGTATTGAGCTCTGATTATGTGTTAGCTACTATGCTGAGCATTTTATATATGATATCTCATTTCCATTCCATAGACTAAACCAAAGAGGTCTTTTAATCTCTTTTTTTCCAGATGAAGATTTAAGGCTCAGAGGGAAGAAACCTCCCAGGCGTCATACAGTTTGCATGTTAGAGCCAGAATTTAAAGTCCACTCTGTTATACCATTCTGGTATTCGAATCACTTTGGTGAGTAACATGTCACCCATGTTTACATTAATCTTTTTTGCTTTTGTGATCATAATATTTATTCATTCAACAAGTCTTTTTCCCAGGTACAGTGGCAGGCATCAGGGGTACTGGGTGCCAAATATACATCTTTCTCATCTAGGATATCATAATTGAGAGAGGAATATAAACATGCAAATGATGAACTATTATATATCCTAGGATATATAAAGAGTTATGAAAAGACATCAGTTGAAAAGTAGGAAGGGGAATCCAGGGAGGCTTCATAAAAGAGGTGACATTGGGTTAGACTGTGGAGGTTAAAGAGAAGGCTTTCAAGTAGGGAAGAGTGGGGAGCATGATCAAAACATCAGAAGAATGGGAGTGACCGGTGTCCTCAGAGTTTCCCAATAACCCAGGCAGTGCGGCTGTGCTCAGGGGCTTTGTCTTGTAGGCAATGTGCAGGTTTTAAGATGTGTAATCAGGGAAGGAAGTAATCAAATCTGTGTGTTTGAACAACAACTGTGGTGGGAGGTGGAGGATGAAGTGATGAGGAAAAGTGTTTAGAAGAAGATTTAAATAGTTGAGGCATGAGTTAACAGGGGAGGAACACAGGGTAACAGTATGATAATTGGAGGATGCAGGAAAAGATGTGGTGGTATACTAATGTGTGTTTTGTATGTTTGTGTAGGGGATATTTGAGAAAGGGAAGTCATTAAGGATGACACTAAAGTTTTTCCATTGTAACCGGGTAAGTGCAGGAAAAGAAGCTAGTCTGTATAGGAGATAAATTGACAAAGTTGATTTTAGACACAAACATGTTGGGTACTTGTGGATTATCCAGTTGCAGGTATCTCGATGTCTAGGCAGTTAGAGGGACAATTGAGGAATTCTGAGGCTGGAGTGAATAGGTGGTGATTGAAGGTCAAGGAATAGAAGCATTTGCCCAAGGACAATGTGTACAGCAAGAATCAAGAGGACCCAAGATGAGCTGTGGGAGATGCTAATGGGCTGGAAGAAAAGACAGCAAAGGGAATTTAGGAAATGTGGTTAGATAAGCAGAATAGCAGGAGTGCACAGCATCTTGGCAGCAGGGGGCATAAGAAATTCAGACGGAAAGAGTAACCAAGAATGCCAGTTTCCTCTGCATGGTCAAGCTACCTTAAGGCTGAAAGTGACTCCTCCCATAGCCTTAGCTATTGTTGGTAGAGGTTTTGTTTGTTTCTTTTTTCACTGGCAAAGTTTTGATTTTATGGATCACCTTGACAAGAAATCTCTGTAGGAGTTCTATATAAGAACAGAAGGTTGGTGTATCAGTGAGTTCCCAGAGGGCTCTAAGCAGATGGGAAACTTCCCTCCAAACAGGCTGGAAAAACACTCCCTGACAACACACCATTATTTCTGGGCACCAGGGAAGATAAATGAATGAGAATGCAGGTGGCTCACTTTGTCAGGAAGTCCCATGAGAGAAGGGGCCAACTACGAGGCTCATGTGGCTCAATCACATTAGTCGACCAATGAGGATAAAAATGTCTCTTTTTCAAAGTGTGAGGCAGAAGCAAACCAGGGAAAGGCAGGTTTGAAAGCACTCAGCTGGAGCCTCAGATTCTTATGTGGCCACCCCTGCAATCTAGAGAAAGCCTGTGGACCTCTGCATGGCATACAGGGCCTTGAGTGTCTGCTCTTGGCTCTCTCTCCTGCCTTTTTTTTCTTCCCTCACCCTTCTGCATGCCATGGTCTGGGCAATACTGAACTATATGCAGTGTGTCCCCAATGCTATGCACCTTCTGCCTTCATGGGCACTTAATATAGCATGTCCTATTCTTCCTGCAAGGCTCAGCTTTCCTTTAGATTATTCCATGACATCTGGCATAGGGCTGAGTACACAGAAGGTGCTCAGTAAGTATTCATTGAGAGGACTCTGTTCCTCCCCTCACCAGCCTTCATAGGAAATACGACTTCCATCTACATGCCCAGACTATCTCTCTTCCTGCTCACTGTATTTCTCCAAGGAGGGAGGAAGGGCTAATCCAGAGGCTATTGGGGGTGCTCAGTGGACCTTATTTTCCTTGGAGGGCAGGGTCATTGTTAAAGGTCAGTGTTTATGCACAGTTCAGACACTTATATTCTCCTCCTCTTTGGTCCACTGAGATAACAGGGAAGCCAGTGCCTTCATCCACCTTATGGGAGGAGACCTGGCCATCTCTTCTCTTTGGCCAGGTCATCTCTGCCTTTAAGGCAGAAAGCCCAGGTTGGCTTAACCCTGGCTCTGGGCACAGATGGCACCTTCTCAGGTCTGCCTCATTCATCTTTGGCACTGGTGGATGTACATTGGTTTGGCCTTTTGCATCATCATAGTGGTAGAATCTCACGCCAGAATTTAATGGTGGGATCTGGGGGCCAGCAGAGAAGCAATTCAGGATGGAGGCCATGTGGTCTCTTGACTTCAACCATGTTCTTATTTCAGCTTTTATCACAGTTTGCATAGGCTAATTGGGCATTTGTTTGGAAATTTGTAAAATTGATGTGTGTTTTTTTTTTTTTTCCCCATTTAGCTATTGAACTTTTGTGTAATCTTTGGCATGGCGATGAGTTCATCAGGGTATCTGTAGGGTGGTGTGGGAGGATTTACACACAGATCTCACCTGAATCCCTGACACTGTTTTAAATAACTGTCTTCTGGGTTTGCTGTAAAAGGGAGAGGGAGGTGAAAGACAGGTAGTGCAATCCAGTGGCAAGAGCAAAGCCCTGATTGAATGTTTGAACCTGTAGTTCTGAAGCATGGCCAGTAGCACAGTCATGGGCAAGGTAATTGATTCCTCTGAGAATTATTTTTTAACTTGTAAAACAGGGATTTTTTAAAAAGCCTACCTTTTAAAGGAGGCTCTGAGGTTAAACAAAGTCATAAAATAGTATAATAAAAATTCAAAGAAATGTTAGATCTCTCTGTATTCATCATGACATTTAGGAAACCAAAGGCACATTAAAGATTTATGGCAAGAGTAATAATTACAAGATTAGCATTTTAAGCAAAGGTATTGGCATGACATATTAAATTTCTCCAGAAATCTCTGCAGCAGTTCCTCAGCGTTCATTTATTTCTTTACATGTAAACATTATAACATCAGATTGTAAATTTTATCTAATTATAGAGCCTCGCAGGCATCCAGGGGTTCTGAATTTGCCTTTGCATTGTTGGTGCACATAAAAAGCAGGGAAACCTTTCATTTCTGAAATTGAGTCTCAAAAAGAATGACGGGATTTGCAAAGCTCTAGCCAAATCATTTCTAGACATTAAGCCCTAATTATTCTCTGCAGTCTGTCTTTAAAATGGTCTGTATTGATATTGTGATTTGACATTTGCTGGGAAGGCAGGGATCACTGGGGATGAGCAAACAGCCTATAGCAGCTTGTGGTGCAATAGGAAACAAAAACTCAGGTTATACTGAAAGATGGCACTTGAACAATGCTTTAGAATCTGTAGATTCTGTAGTACAATCGTGTATTTGATCCTTTCAGCAACCCTGAAGAAAGATATTCTTAGGTCTTTCAACAAATGAAAATACTGTGACTCCAAAAGGGAATTTACTAGAAATA